TTGGCAAATTAAAACATTAAATAACGTGGTTAGAAGTTTGATAAGATGAATTTTTAAAATTGCAAAAAACAAAAGTGAGATAAATGCGGAAAGCATTTTCTGGTTAAGACCAAGTACCTTGCTCCACAAGACCAGCTGAACTGGTACATGAACATAGAGAGAGGTTATCTTTCACACAAACGGAGAACAACTTCCAGCTAGTGGAAGTCAGTTGGAGTTTTGCTTCGAAGAACATCTTAGAGACTGATTTAAAAAGACGATTTTTGAGGACATCAGAATCATGATCACTTTTGAAATCCAGATTTATGAAGATGATTTTCTTTGTAACTGAGTAAGTAACCAGTTTAGAATGTTTATCTTTCACGTTTTAATCAATAACTGGATTTGGATAACCTTTTTCAGCAAGCGTGGCTTCTAGGAAAGACAGTCACGCATCAACGCAGTCAGAGCTACAAATTTTTCTAATCATAAAGCTGAGGGAATAAATCAGATTTATTTTTCTGGAAAAAGGTACCCAACTATAGAAATTAGTTATTTATTCCTTTCATGTACGGTTTTTGTTGGATTCGTGTTCTTAAAGCTTCACTGAATTTGCTCGAATACTTGTCACACAAGCGGTGGATTTAATGGCTTTAGTATCTGATATTGTAGTTGCTGGATTCTATTCTACTGACAGTGGCAACACCATCACACACTAGGAAGGCAGATACATCCAGAAGAAGAGTACAAAATAGGACAAAACATGAGCTCTGGATTCCAGTGCTAGTCATCATCAGGCGAAGAACGTAAAGTTTTTGATGTCTAACACAAATTGTGTTTTTAGTAGTGCAGCTCCTCTCTTCTAATACTAACTTGGTAAAAAAAAATGAGTCAGACAAAAACAGTAAGAAACAAAATATGATAACATGAAATAATTGTTACATGAGTGACTTAACAAAGAATTTGAATACCACACAAATAAACGAGATGTTACGTCCAAATATAAGCATTTACAAATGAAAGGGCTGATTAATATGGAACAAGCAGAACTTAGCAGTTACCTTAAATGATTGTTAACTCTAAAATCTGTTATTTTCAATAGGAGAAGTTCACGCTGCAGAAAAATAACTATTACAAAGGAACTTTCTATGACTTTCGATATTCAGCAGCACAACTAATGAGAACCGAGAAGGCTTGTACTTTAGTTTTTTTGTTTGTTTCATCAGCTGTTGTCAACTCTTTCCATTTTTTAATTTAAAATAGGTTAAACAACAATGGAGAAACAACGTACTGTCGTTCAATAATGCAACTATGACAAGCGGAAATTATCAACATAAAGAAGTGGAAAATTATATCAGAGTAAACAATATTGACAGGAAAGTCAACAAGACAGAAATTTCCTGTCACAAGAAAGACAGTAAACAAATATTTTATGGAAAAAGGAAGGAATACTAATTTAGTAAGTCGATGAGTACATAAGACAATTATACAAGGAAAAAGCAAAAGATGTCATATCCACAACATAAATGAAATCAAGGGTAGGTGGTCACACAAAGGGGAATATGTGTATAAGAATATCTTTAAAGTAAACTGTTCCTGGGTTTTTTTTCTCACGTAACTACTTTTGTAACAGTAAGTGAGTCAGTAAACATGACTGAAGAAAGATGACACATTCACTTAATTGGGTTCACCAGTGAGATGTCTCTCTGAAATAAATCAAGTATCGTTAATTTATTGAGAAATTCTGACCATTTACCAATTTTCACACCAGCATTCAACTAACATCGCTTTTAAATGCATGAGTCATAATCTTTAATTTGAATTTAGCAGTTCGTTCAATTTTTTTCTACCTTATTTACTTTTGCCTTTTTATAAATGACCACTTTCTCACAGGAAAAGAAGAACTAAGTTAGGGTTACCGCTGGAGATGAAAACAAGTAGTGAATACATCTGCACTACATAGAACGATTTTCAACAAACTCATCAAGAATCTTCGATACTTGAATCTTAGTGTGCTGTGAACCCCATTAATGTTTAGTGCACTTCATTACGCAGTTCGGGCCAACACTTATTGACACAAAGACTGACGCTAATGTTTGTTCCAGCCATCTCCACTACATTCTAACATAATCCTACTTTAGTTAAGGTTGCTTACTGTAAAATGCAAAGGCTTGGAGCACGTAACACTTTCTGAATATCTCAGCTGATGGAGCATCACAGACTCGTTGATTAACTTTCTATCTTACATAATATTTATCTAAACCATGAATTCCTTGTCAAATTATCCTCAATTTCCCATACAGATATTCTTTTGATACGAAAATAAAGTTAAAAGTTCATATGGAGCTCTGTGAAAAGCCTTTGCTTTAAGCAGTGTAATTCCATAAACATTCAAACCGTTTATTCCAACTTAACAAAAATAACTATTACACTTTGTATGTAAATTATAAATTTATTCTAGGTTGTGGAGAGTTTTCTGAACACTTCGAGTAGAAATCATGGTATATTAAGCATACGATTCGCTCTTGTCAAATGTAAAATGATTCTACAGGACTGGTTTACACCGACTCCAAGTTTAAAGATGAGGATTGAAATGGTTGAGGAAGCTGATCACTTTACTTATTCGAGAATTTGCATCAATTCTAATGGACTGACTGTTCACAAAATATTAGCACGGATACAAAAGGCTCGTTTGGCACTTGACTACAGATCTTTACCTTCTGTCTTCCGTGCTAACTGGTATTGTGTGTTCAGTAATATTGAGCTAGGGTGTAGAATGCTAGATAAAGAGGGAATATCAGTCAATAAGATTGTGAAGCTATATTGACTGAGATGACTATGGCTCATGTTACGTATGGCAAGCCGCCGCCTCACTCGTCGAACAATATTAGCTGACGTGCGAGCAGGTTGGAGAAGAGTTAAGAGTAGTTAAATAGAAAAAAGTGGTATCAATCCATGAAGCAAATAGATTGTTGGTTTGAACTACATATGGAAGCGTAGACTAAATGGCTGGAGTCCTTAAGGCACTACGAGCTAGTGGCTACAGACTATTGGTAACATGGTTCATAATCACACTCAGTAGCATAGATACATTCACTATTTGTGATTTCCTAGATCTACTAAAATTCTCATTACTCTTCATGTAACTGTTCTTCCTCCTGTGCATTTTCTGTTTATTATAGATTCTCTACCTTTGTGTACTTTATAAAGTGCAGCAATCCTGTAATGCTACACTTCAATGTAGTGTTCCGTGTTGGCAAATTCAGTCAGTATTCCAATTTACTTTATACTTTACTGTTTAGGAAATATGAAACAAATGCTATTATTATTATTTTGAAATAAAAATAATTTACACTACTTAGCAGTAATATGATCTGAGTAAAAATTTATAAATAGTAAACGTTTTGTAATCATATAGAATACAATTGTGGATATAAAATGGGCATACAATGAAACTAAAAGAAAAGTTTATGATGATAATGACTACAACAACAACAACTAAACTAATTAATTTTCATCTTCCTGCCTTAGATGATAAAATAAATTAACAGAATCGCCTTGCATTAATTACTGTCATTTTATTTCTCCGATGATCTTAATATATGTTCATATCCGGTTTAGTTAATTTCTAAAAACAGTTCTATGCTAGAAAGGAAACAGAAACAGTATCAAAGTGAAGAGGAGATTGAGGGGAAATGAATAGCTGAAAAAAAGTAAAACAGTACAGTTGAGGTTGTTTTTGAAAATTGATTCATTTCATAGAAGGTTTCAGCATAGATCAGCATTAAATCAGTGATGTGTTGGAGGATTTCATCAGGAGCTGAAGTCAGTTAGAGAACCATTGGAAAACCTAAAAGTACTGGACAATTATTTCGTCCTAGTTTGGGACTCTTCGGCAGTACGCACCTACCGCCACGGTTCGAACCCAGGACCTTCTGGTTACAAGGCGAGCTAGCTCGTAGACCATTAAGCCATTCACTGGGACCCAATCTAATGGCCCATGAATTCTAACTTCTGCCAATTCACGACATAGTACGACCGCTAGCCAATGTCCTCAGCTGTCCAGTACTCCCAGGTTTTCCAATGCTTCTCTAACTGATGTCAGCTCACGATGAAATCCTCCAACCAATCAAAAAAAACACCTACACATAAAGCAATACTTGAAAATCAGTGATGTGTTGAAATACACAGAGGAGGAGCATAAACACAGTTGCTTTAATTCAGACTGTGGATTATATTAGAGATACGAATGACCAACTGTATAAAAGATGGAGTTTACAATTGTGTTTCAGCTTTATTTTATAATTCAAGGTTGATTCTGTTGCTAGAACTGTTAGCTAAGATATAGTATGACAATATTCACGTCAACTGTATTAGACACTAAATGTAACTCAGAAATCTTTAAATCAACAGGTTTATATTTGACAGAATAGGATCTAGAGCAGTTATACATTAATTTAAAGTGCCAGATTTCACTTTACCACAAAGTGGATTGTTCAGCATCAGCGAAAACAAAAAATGAAAATAATTAAGGTTAGGATGAACACACACAAAAGAGAACATCTCTAACTGAAGGTTAAATTAAAAGGAAAATACAAAGAAAAAGGCTATAATGTAAAGAATTCTTGAAAAGTCTTCAATCCCTAATTTCTGTTGCCTAACTCACTCTGAGAGGGAGGAAATAAAAGTCACTGAAAAGGAATTGATCTAAAATATTACAAAATGTTAACTAGTGTTGTTAACTTTTCTGACAATCTCAAATAACAAGTGTTAAGATACGTGTGTCATGTTTGTACCAATTACGTGATGTTTTTGTGACCTTTGAGATGACGCTCAGGTCAATGTTGAGTTGTTGAAAACAGAATGAATCATTTGTTTACCTAGATCAATATTTTTCAGCGCACTGGGGTGAGAGGAAAACAAATGATGATTAGTAGGAATGAATAAAACTTGCCAAAAAACACAGAAAACCAATGATAGTAAGGGGGCATACTAACAAGAAAAACTATTCACACACTCACCTTGAGTAGTCGAACATCAGCAGCCATTGGTTTATCACTTTCTGCTAGCGAATTCTCTGCATCGTCTGCACGTGCCAACTGGTCTCTTAATTCAATATTATCTCGACGTAACTCTCTGACTAAATTATCCAAATGACTTTGTTTAGCTTGAGCAGCAGCAGTTTCAGCTTTTTGATTTGATAAATCTGATCTGAGTAGACTTAGTTGTTCTTTTAATTGAGATATCAATTGGTGATTATCAGAGGAGTTTTCCTAAATTGTATAAGAAGTATAAAAATAAATAAAATAGTAAAGGAGAATATCATCTCATTTTTAATATGACAAGTGACTGTTTGAGATTCAGAGCATTGGTTACAATCATTTCTATTAAAAATGTTCTACTCTAAGGAGAATAATTCACCACAGTAACTTAAATGTACTAAATTAAACTTGTCAAAATCATTTGCTAGCTGTGTCACCAACAGAAAAGCAATCTAAAAAAATGTTTATTATCATTTAATAACAACAAAAAGGTTATTAAAACACCTAAGGATTTAAGTCTGTCAAACTGCAGCCGGAACATAAAATGAATGTTAACTTGTTAGTGTTCTGTCAGTTTTGGTGGCTTTTAAAATGTGAAGTCATCTTAGAGAATCAGCAATTACTGTCATGAATAGGTTAGCTAAAGATTTTTATTCGCTCACAAATTACCCTAGACACAGCCCACAAAGTTCAACTAGGCTACATGACAACTTAACAGTGACATTTCCCACAGTCAAACTCTGAAATTACTTAATTTTTCGTCAGTGTAGCAGAGTAATTTATTTCAAAACTAACGCCTACTGAAACACGTCACAGTTTAATTCCTTCAAGACACCTTGCTGTAGATTAATCAGCCAGTAGTAATACTTCATGTAAGGTGATTCATCATAAATTATTACCTTTTGCAATGGTCAATTGATTCAGATTACCTGATTTCAATGCACAACTTATCACTGATAAGCTTCAGAATGAATTTATTAAAGTTCTAATGTGTAATCATAACAAGTGGAGGTTATGTGAACAATTACCGGTTGATAAAATTACATCTCAGTGGGAGCATACTCTGGATTCGAAGAGGATATTAGTCGTATAAAATTAGATTCCGACTGAAAGTCTGTATGATAATACTGACAAATTGCTATCTAATGGTTGTGGGACAAATCCTTTGTAGTACCATAGAAATGCACTGCCCCACAGTCATCAGACAAATCAGAGGATTTTTTATTCCTTTACGTCCCCAGTGGAACATAGAGCTTCAAGCTAAAGGCTTGAAGTTTCGGTAGCAGTGGTGTTTATTTGACGGGATAGGGTTGCTAGCCTCATACCCAACCTTCCGTCTTTACCAGTCTTATTATCGGCCTAGGGAGGTAAAGGAGTGCGTCGACCGGGGATGGAACCCCAGACCACATGTGTGGTTGGAGAGCAATCTACCTCTGTGCCATCGACGCACAGAGGAGTAGTGAAGTGTATTTTGGTTTTTAGTGACAGTCCGTCTACTCATCATGAGAATCACCCTTATATTAATCAGATTCTTTAAAACCCGAAATATCTAGGCTCGACTGTTTATAAAGGAAGGAAAGCTGGAATGCTGTCAAACTGACGGATTTGCAATAGTGAATGAAAATCTGGAAATTAATTATGTATACTTTGTGCTTTCAATAATTCTATAGGACGTTCAGAACACTTTTGTGTATGTTTGTGTCTGCCAGATGAAAACATCAAAATCTTCTTGAGTGTCTTAACAGTCTTATCTGATAAAGCATTGCAGCTAAAGTTAAGATTTAACAAACACAGATCCATAACAAGGTAAATCCATGTTGTTCCAGATAAACTTTACAGTAGACTAAGAGTTACTCAAAATGATACTGTTAGCTGAATCCAATGAATGAATGTGAATGAACTATTGAGTTTATTGTGTTACATGTACTATCAAGTGTTCATTCTTGTTTCCTGCTTTTTTTCGCTTCAGTATACATATATCAGTCAGTGTTCACGAGTGTAATTTGCTTAGACAATCCAAATGAACAAAATACCGGAAAACAATCATTTATATTTAATTAGTATAAAGTGTACTATTATTAGGTCTGTAGAACACATCCATTTATAAAACCACTTGATCTGGTGGTATAATCTCATCAACTCTTTATAAGTTATTACAGAATAAAGATAGTTTTCAAGAGTTTGTTTGTAGGGATTTGAATTGTTTCAAGTTTTTCCATTGGTTCTCTAACTCATATTGTAAAGAAGAAAACACCGAGGAGGCTGAAAGGAATGTTGATTTGGTGAAGCGTATGGTACATAGCTAAATTTGGTATACCATATTTTCAGCCTGCCATTTGCACATCATTTACCACATCCTTGACGAATTGGTCGAATATCGTCAAATTCGATAGCTTCTTGGATTCTGCATCATATGGCAACACTCTCCTCATGGTTCTCTTCTTTGATCGCTCTTTCCAGTGTGCCAAACATATTGTTACTTTTCTGAATTCCTTTCTGATATACTACTTATATCGGATTATAAGTAGCACTCACCACAATATCAATGCGTGATCAAGTCTTGAAACAAATCAAATCTCTACTAATAAACTCTTGAAAAGCAACTTTATTACCACTTTCTTTGTGATTTGTTATAGGTGATGTTGAGGCATCCATAACCCGAATCATTTGAGTCGGATGATTTTATTGATTTTCGTATACAATTAGGAACGTGTTCCTTAGCCCTGACCTGAAAATATCGATGGATCCCGCTTATGAAAATCTGACCACACATTGATGTAGGATGGTATATGTGTCAGTTTTTAGACTGTATTAGTCTACCTGAACGTGATACATCAGATCTATGAACGGATGCCTGGGTACCTATTTGAGTTACAGTTACAGATCCAGAACGCATATTTGGACCTATTCTGAACTCGTCAAGTTGTTGGTTTTCAATCTGGGACTCGGACCAAGCAGATATCGCATCAAACTTGCTAAGCTACTGAAGCACTTATGCGCATTCAGAATATAAGGATAATTCAATTGTCAATAGAAGATAATTGGTTGATAATTGAATTCAAGAGCGCAGACTCAATTCTAGAATGCAGTATTAATTTTGATCATTCAACATCTGTAAAGGTTTCATTTAGTGTGATTCATAACGTAAGATAGAATTGGTAAAAATGAATTCGTTTACATCTTCTACATGAGGCTAAAGATCTTGCCTACCATAAGCAAAACCTCGAACCTCGTGTTCAGAAACATTTTACCCAGTTTATTTTACTATCCTAGCTTGATTTGTTGAATGATAGATTCTATGTAATTATTTTGTTGTGAACCACTTTCACTCAATTGTGCTCTTTTTGGAACTTATTATATTAGCGTAAATATTTATATACTTAGTTAATTAGTTGTCAGGTTTCTCAATTATGTAAGTTTATTCATTATTTTTCATAATTCGTCATTTTTCATACACTGATTGGTCACTATGGGGTAACTAATGTCACGTGATGTTGGTGCAGACTGCATTCTGTCAGTCAAGTTTGCAATGTGGCCACCAGCTCTCCATAGCGGTGCACGTAATACATTGGTTACTCCCTATTGACCAATCAGTGTATCCATTACAGTTCTACAGGAGATCAGTTGCGAGCATAAGTAGCTCAGTGGCGTAACTTCTTTGACTACAGCACTGGGTAACGCAGGTTGGAATCTCAGAGGGGATATGAATTCCCTCAGGGTTTGAAATACACCTTGTTGACGACTGCCTACAAAAACTAGGTTCAGGTCTTCCTACCAGTTACTTCTAACCATCTTACACTTTGATTTATCATTGTTACTGACTGGTAATAACCTCTGACCTCTGATGAGAATTGACACAATACACATGAACTCCCAAATAACTTTACAAGTTTGATGAGAAGTTACGAAAAGAGACGTCTTTGCTGATCTCCGTGTTCTTTATTCACATCACACAGGAATTTCGCAAATCCTGAATTATCAACTTGTTAGGATAAAGTGCTTTTTCCCAGTTTATTGTTATCTCAAAGTTTCATTTTAGCATTCATTCAGTTGTCTCTTACATGAATGGCTTATTCAATCTGTTGTGGTGAGAACTCGGTAAAGATAAGTATAACGTAAGTTAATGTTATATATAGCGGTCAGTACTAGGTATTTTTTTAACCTTCGAAAATGTTAATATGATAATTTGGAGTTACGACCATGTTACCACCACAAGCACATACACATACTTATCGATATACATATATATATATAAATACGATATTTTTATGAGCAAAACTACCAAACTAGCACACTATCTATAAGCAAAACAGAACACGCATAGGTTAAGCACACACACACACGCACACAATCACACACATCACTACGTCCACTTACTTTCAACACTACAACTGTCTAAAACAACAATAGTATAGATTGAAATGGAATTAACATACAAACCAACTAAAAAATACATATATTAATAACTGTGACTAATCTGATTCATTGACGTCGTCCCTGTCCTTAGTCAATAAAGTAATAATAATCATAATAATCGTGTTAGACAAAAGCTGGGTTAATATGTTCATGTGTAGAGACAGTTTTGTAAATTTGCATTCATGTGTATGCACAAATAATGAATACATACACATTCACATGTTGTTTGTCGTCTAATCAATCGATCAGTTTTCGTTTTTTTCTTATTTTGGTCGACAGTTATACCGATCGAATAGACAACCAACCAAACAAACTAATTGCATAAAACCTTTTTGCCATTGCGAATCGATTAATCAATTGAAACAATGAAAACTGACCAGTGATAAATGTTTATTAGATGCCTGATTGGATGTTATTATGTTAAGTTAGTTAGGAGAGAAAAAAAAGTATCCCAATAGATAGAAATATTAGATTTAAAAAATAAATTTTAGAGACACAATTGCAGTGTCCATCTTTAAAGCATTCCCATATGTTCCAATGACACTAAGTTATATGTACACATGTATATTCTATACACTACGAACGGTAACTTTCAAAGCGAAAGTATATATTATCCTTTGAAATTAAAGTTTGCACATGACATTACGGCCACACACAAGTAGCAGACTATATGATAAATCATTTTCTGGACAATATTGGACTCATTGTTTTTAACCTCCAAAGCAAAAATATTTATGCTAACATTTAACTGCAGTGCAGATATATGCCAGTTGGATATGAATATATTTTCGCCTCTATGGCATATCACATTTTGGTTAGATATACATACATTCTGTTGAAAATACTGAGATCAATACGCACTCACAACTCATACAACCAATAACAACTAAAGTTGAATGAACAAAATTGAACGAAATTCAAAAAGCTGTAACCATTACTGTTACTGAATTGAGTGAAGCGAGTGACTTTTCACTCACTATGCCAGAAAACAATTCGATCTATTCTATTTTTTAATATCTTAGTTTACTAAAATATATTTTTTACTGAACTTTTTTATAGTGTTGCCATAACTATGAGATTTTATAGGTGTCCGATTCTGTCTAAATGCGTGTGTGTGTATATAATCGAACATTTCTTCTCCTTCTAAAACCACATCAGCCAACTCATTAGGCAATCCAATTAGTATCACTTGAGGACGAAGTAACTGAAATTTTGAGAATGTTAGTAAGGCACAATCGTGAACAATACTGGCAGTTAAAGTGATTAAAGATTATGATGTAAGTAAGTGTAAAATGTCTTCCAAGTATTGGATCTTGTCACGAAATCTTCAAAATAACATGCATATATATATATATATATATATATATATATATATGACCACATGTCCAATGATATGTCGGAATACACATCTTGTCTCTTGACATATTCCTCAGTGCTAAGCCCCATAAACGTCTACTTTGGCCACTGTAGAGTTTTTCGCAAGTGATAAAATTTATTACTACCTATAGATGATATCCGTTTCGGCATCTTATGACTACGAATACTGAATTAAAGGGGAATCATTAATATATGTGTAAAACTTGGGCACTGTGGTAGTAAGTAATTCCAAATTAGTTTGTTTATTAGACATATGACACAGTGAAACTCAAGTTTCAAAGTCGTGTGATTACAATTGATATGTTTGTGAACAATAAACTTTGTTCGAAACCTTGTCATCCAGTAAATAATGTTTCACTGTGTGATATATCTAATAAACAAACTAATAGGGAAAGGGAAATCAGTTTTGCAGTGAATAACTATTACCTTCATCCCATCTGTCAACCCTTAAACACATGCGCATCCTAGTGCTCATTAACACTTCCACCGAATGCCTACAACATATTACATAATTATAAAATGAAGGAAATATGTGTAGGACATTTTTATTGTCCAACTCTAACCATTATATGCATATAGTATTGTAAAGAAATAGTATTGAAACAATAATATCTTACCTCAGTTTGAGTTTCTTCGTGTACAGTCGGTGGTATTTTTCTCAGCTCTTCTTCCATCTATCAAAAATACAAAAACAAAAAAAATTAATGTATGTGCCTATTCATATTTATGCCTGTCTCTTATGTTAAGTTATCTTGATTACCATAAGATGAGAGTATAACGTACCATAGCTTTTTGATTTTCAACTTCAACAATTTGAAAATCCAACAGCTCCAATTGTTCTTTCATTTCTACTTTAGTCACTTCAAGTCGTTCAATTTTCTTGGCTGATTCAAATAACTAGTATAAGTGAAAGAGGAGGTAGGGGGAAAGGGTGAAGAGTTTATTCATATTTGCACTGAATTAGCTTGCTTACCTGATTCAATAACTTTTTATTCTGACGTATTAAATATCGTCTTTCTTCAGCTTCACGAGGATCCTATTTATTTGAAAAGATAAAAAAGAACAAACAAACAACAAAAAATAAGTTCCTTTGAAACGCTTGATCAAATATAATCCGAATAATACCAATAATTTCAGAACTTAAGTATTTTTCATTCCTTGTGTTAAGAGTGGAACATAGGACTTCAAACTTTTGCAGTTTCAGCAGCAGTGATGTTGTTTATATGGGGTGGGATTGCTAGTCTCACTCCCAACCTTCAAGGTTTATGAGTACGTCAGCAAGGAATGCAATCCAAGCCACATTTATGTGTTTATGATTGAATTACTGTATCATATAATACTAATAAATTCCAGTTAGAGGAATTTTCAGTCAACGATACACTTTTCACATGATCACATTCAACCAAAAGGCTATGTACTGCATCAAAATATCTATCATCAAACTAATATGGTTACTTTTAGGTTACTTAATTAAATAGATAATATCGATTATATAATCATGTTTTTGAATTGAAAGGAAAACACAAAGGTCATATTATTAATAAAAAGGATCTTAACGAAGAAAGATGAATTAAGATGAGTTCATATAGGGGACATAAGAGACACAATATCTGAGAAATTGCTTAATATTCACTTATAAAAACAAATAATATGAAATCTGTGGAAGCTAATGATAGAAAATACCCAAGTACATACACACACACACACAAATACACACACACGAGTGTATCAGTGAATATAATCAAACCTAAATGAAATTATTTCAGATCCCTATAAAAATGAATGAACACTTCGCCTATTCTTACATGTGACTACAGTTGTTTTATTTCTTAGTACATTAAGTAATAAACTCAGTAAATTTTCTAGATTGTCACCGCTTTTTATCTCTTCTCAAGCTTTGATACTACAGATATATAATAAACTGAACTGTATTTTCTTAAATGTAATTAAAAAAAGAAACGATCTGAATCATATATTTATTCTCTATATTTTGAAAAGTGGCAAGTACTTTATCAAGTGAATATAGATGTAAGTAATTATCCTTTATCAGTCTCAACAAATGCATTCATTGCCATCCAACAACTGATGTGTTACACGTAATGCGGCACAATCGGGAGTTAGTCATGATCTGAACAGCATTCAGGTGAAATAAATGACACTAGCATAAAATGGAGTAAGTTCACCTCTCAAGTGAAATATGAGTTTTCTCATGATCGTACAAATGCTTTGGTAATAAGTACTAACAAGCACAAAATTGGAGGCGGGAGTGGGGGTTCAGAGTGACATGTTAAATCACCGCTTTCAACATTAAATGGATGCGTCCCGATGAAAAGTTCTAAACACGGACAAAATGGCTGTCAAGTACTCCCTAGTTTTCATTGGTTCCCTAAATGAAGTCAGTTTATGGTTAGTACTGAAATCAAGCAAATCCCTTCAAATCAGAACTTAAAAATACCTAAAATATTAGACAGATATGCATTTTACCCACTGACAGTTGACAGAACTAGATTGCCCATTAAAGCTAACAACTCCTCTTAAATAAGTTTATGATTAGGGAATCAACTAACAATGGGCTAATTATACAATATGCCAAAGATTTACAAGTTCAATAAATTTAAGAGACATACTGAACATTACCTAGGTGATCAAATTATATAAGACATAAAGTCATTTCATTAACAACCTTTATCTTGATACCTACAGAAATGAGGTCAAAAATATCACAGTTAGTTAGATTACACTTGTATTCAGACATTGTGACTTTATAATGGTTCAGTTAGTGAAAACCGTTACTTCGAATTCGAAAATTTCGTAAACACCTTGTCACTCCAATGTACAAGCATAAGGATGATTGCTTCTTCTTATCAATCGAATATTTTCTCATAAAAGGTTTCGTATTTACATTGACTAGTCACTGAATTGTAATCAATAGTTTCGTTTACATCACACAAAGATAAATTAGTAGATATATATACAGATTGCAATATATGCAATGTGGTTTGATGAATACCTTGTGATGTTGGATGGTTGAAAAATGAAAGTTTGGAATATATACTTCTGATTTCTAGATACTTATATAGATAATACACTTCTAGAAAAGCTTCAAATGATGAGTTTACGTTGTCTTAGTTATTCAAACAGTCATTTCCTTGGGATTCAACAATATTTTCCCATTCGCCTACTGCAGTAACTTACATAATACGTTTTCTAAGTTTTAGATGTTAACCAAAATATGTCAGTCATATTTTTTCAATAATTTTAGCTATCAGACACAAAGTTGTTGCAAAAGATTGTTATTTTCTTTAGAAATAGGTAGTTCTATAAAACTGTATGCCTAACAAGGCAATAGATAGATTGCATTGATATAGGAAATAAACAACAACAAAAAAAAAACAGTTAAAATGTTCCAAACCCAAAAACAATTTTTCAACCACTTAAATTATGAACATGTGGCATATTAAAGTCTTTTAGACTGAGAGAATCAGTGTCAATAGCTGCTAATTAATCGAATCTACTTCATCAACATGACCAGAAAATACTTGTTATCTCAATAATGTATACTACACAAATTATAACTATGTTCACTGTGTGTGTATGTGTGTGTCTGCGGGAAAAGGATTTTTCTGTACGCTTGAAGTGATATAGAAGAATATTTTGAAGGTAAAATGTTCATGCTTCCCTTTTTATGGCGATTTAGTCTATTTTAGGTGGATCTCACCATTAAATAAAATAAGTCATTCTGAGATCCACTGAAAACCAAGGAGCATAAGACAGCCTTCTTATTCTAGTTCGTAGGTTTATACAACTGCATAGCTGTGAACTCATTAAGCACGGAATCAGGGATCTTCAGATTACCAGAAAAACTCATCAATCACCTAGTGAGTTAAGACGCAGTGGACCATGAATTCTAAATTCTAAACGTGTAGTTCAGCAAAGATGCTCTTTTCGGCGAATTCATTTTCTTTAGCTCTACAATCGCATTTGCATACAATTTTTCTACTGTAACAGTATGGTAATAAAAGTGATGAGTTGTCACAAACATAGTTTTTAATGTTAGTCAATACATAAAAGAAGTTGAATAAGTGTATTAGAGTTACGTAATAAGATGAATAGTTTAATGAGTGAGTTGTGATCAGGATGCAAATAGAAACGAAGTAAAATAATGAATAATGCAAGAGTTCTGAAGAAATACAAGAGTTACAAGGAGTTAGAAAACAAGCAAACAAAAATCAAGTCATTGGGAATCAGCACGTTTGTTACCATTACAGTAGAAGTAATTGAATAATTTTCTTTGTATGCATAACTCTGGTTTTTCCAACTGAATGGCTAAGGTTTCAGAAATGCAAAGGACACGAAAGAGTATTGCCTTTTGTAGGTTGTTCTTAACTTTGTAGATTACTCTGAAGGAGGCGTTTGTTAAGATGGAATGACCAGTGTTGACGAGATGTTCAGTTATCGCAGTCATTATACAGTCACTACTACCTCTCTGCAGTCATCCAGGATAGTGCTCTTGGACAATTTTAGACAGGATATGCGTCGAAAGACCAATGTACCTGGCTCCACAGCAACACGTGAACTGATATATGCACACAGACGTGGTCAGGTGCGAGATCTTGTCCTTGAGACTTCTTCAGACCAATGGACGAATGGAGAACGCTACTCTTAGCGTTGCTGCGAAGAATGTTCTTCTTCTCAAAGATGCTGACATTCTTCTCTTAGGGATATCGCAGGCTAAGTCTCCCTTGAAATCCAGGTTCATGTAAAGTTTCTTTTTTGGAACAAGAAATGTTTCCTTCCTCTGGGTTTTTGGTCTGATATTCTTGCCGATGACTCTTGGTGGGTATCCATTCTGGATGGAGGCTTCTTTCAGAAGACCTAGTTCTGCTTCCAGAGCGTCAGGACTGAAGATCCGTCAGATCCGGGTGGAAATGGATTTGATTAGATTTTATTTTGGTTCAGTAGGCACATGACTGCAGGGACTTGTTGGTTGACCGTTCCAAGTTGGTTTTCTATAGACTGACCTTCTTAAGGTTCCGTTGGGTCGTCTTGTTAATTCCACATCAAGAAAGGGGATTTTTGACTTGTTTTCCATTTCCAGATTGAATTTTATTGCTGGATGGCAGTTGTTAAATATTTGTAGCTATTGATTGGGGTCGTAGCTATTGTCGCAAATGATGAAAATGTCATCTACGTACCTCTTATACAGTTGTAAATTGTCAATGTTTGACTTCAATGGACCGTTCTCAAGGCTAGCCACGAAACAGTCTGCTAGTACAGAATTCGCCAAAAAGATCTTTTTAGCTGAACTACGTATTTTGTTTTCATTAATGTCTGAATGGGAATTATTCATGAATTCTAAACTCTGTCAGTTAGTAACATAGCACCGATATGGTTAACTGTACACCCATCTGAATTCCTCTTCGAACTTTAGGAAATCCACTTCAAGGCAGTTGATTAATTAACAGTTGACTAGTATTCATATGTCAGGTCTTTGGAACTGAAGGTCCTAAGTTCGAAGTTTGGTGTATTCATTGGTAGAGACAGGCGAATTGTTAGCAACTAGGATGAAACGAAGGTTCAATGCTTCTCGGTTTTCAATACTTCATGAAGTATACCGTTTGATCCATAGAACTAGATATTTTAGTGTCTAACCAATGGTAAGTTGCATTTTCATCCAGCAATTTTTTTAAATTATTCAGTTAAAAGTCACACTTCAACTTTCATTACGATACAGTAATGAGAACTAATATTTCATTGGAAATTGTCGAGTTTTCAGTAATAGCATACCAGCTGTGGCGTCAGCGGTGCGGCGGTAGAATGCTCGTCAACCACACTGTACGTCATCCAGGGTTCAATCCCTGTTCGGTGAGCTCCTAAACCTCACTAAGCCGGCAGTAAGCCCGGTAAAGAGGGGAGGTTGGGTGTGAGGTTAGCAACTCTACCCCGTAAAAAAGAACAACACCACTGGCACGGAAACTTCGCAGATTAAGCTTGAAGCCCAATATTCCATTCGGAAAGCAAAGGAATGAAATAAAT